TGGCAGCAGAGAGAAGATCTTCACTGCTGCTCTTCACTGGATGAAGAGGGCAGGCTTTTTCTGGGCCAACTTCCTGCAGTTTAGGTGGGACATCAGATAAATGGATTTGAATTTCACCTCTAACTTGAGTCTGAAGAGCTAGGCAACTCGTATCTAAACCAAGCATCAATTTATTAACAGAAATCAGGAAAACAATCTTTCTTTAAAAAGGACGAAATGCTCACTTACACCTTGCTTTTCTCCCCCAAATCCTTTGAAGCCCTCTCCTTTGACCTCAGTTCCAAGACTGCTTCCATCCAGCTGATTTCCTGATGACGTCACCACTTCTGTCTTTGTATTAAAAGGTCACACCTGGAGCGTCATCCCAGCAGTCCTTTCTTTAGAGTCGGATATGTACCGTGTCACACCCCCCCCCGACTTTGCTGCAGATTTAGTTAACCCTCTCAGAAGAGCACCTGTCCAACTCCCAGGAGGAGGTATAAACCATCAACCTTCCAGAGGAAAACAGCCCCTCAATCCCGGCACCACTGTAGGCATGGTAGTTGGATATTCTCTCAATTGACAAGCAGCTGATGCTCAGGTATCCCAGGGTGCCCTGCTGACAGACCATGTTAACACATATGACTGATCGTGAAGGTACTGCATTTCTTCTGCGCATGCTACGCACCGAGTGTTGATTGTCTCCTACAAGAACTGCACCTCCAAAAACCACCTTTTTATCAGACCAGGTCTCCCGCTACCCTTCGACAACCAAAAATGCGTGTCTGTCTCAGGATCAGACCCACACAACAGCACAACAGCATGCACTCCTTCAGGCACCTGCTGCAGACCTGACTGCGGCCCCAGAGCCAAGGCAGGAGACTCTCCCCCTCCCAGGCTCGGCTCCCCTTCTTCCCGGGGAGAAAGGGAGGGGAGAGTAAGGATGGGCCGACAGGCGAAAGGAACGAGGAAGTCGCCCCCCGGAGAGGGGGAGTGAAAAACGAGGAGTGCGGAAAGACAAGACGGGAATCAGCCAGGGTGGTGGCGGAGAGGAAGAGACCAGCAGGGATGTCAGATACTGAAACGCCAGCGAGCCTGGAGAGCAAGGGATTGTCAGGGGGTAAAATGCAGACTTAAAAAAAAAAAAGAAGAGAAATCCAAAAGACACTCTAGGCTTAATTCGGATTTGAAGGAGCGATGGACAAGTGGGTAGGGGGGGGCTCTATCTGGTCATCCTTGCCTCCAGCAGTGTCAGCCTTGCCTCTGACAGGCCCGGCGAGCTGCGGCAGTATTAATCGCCAATTGATGCAATTTAACTTCTTGGGTATGTGCTGATGCTTGCGGTTGCCAGGCAACGCGGAGCTGGCTGACTGGAGTTTAAAGAGACAGGGGCCCCGAGAACGGCCGGCACGCAGAGCCAGATTCAGACAGATGTGCCGTCTGACGGGCGGCCACCTACATCCTGGATTCCATTAACCTGCTTGGCTTAAGCAGAGAGGATCCTGCTTCCCTGAAAACCAATGCACCCCAATGCCCGATACTCCAGTCGGCATGGATGGAGACCAGAGGGTAGTTTCCACAAATCTCAACTACAGACACGCACTGGCCAAATTATTAGGAACCCTCAGTCATATGAATAGGCTCTCTCATGGAAAAGGCAATGTCAGGTTGGTTTGGGAGCATTAGAAAGACTTGCCTCAGCTTTCTGGTCAGGATACTGATCCCTGCCGACTGATCCCAGGTGCCAGGTGTCCCAGCTAACTGGCGGCATGATTCAGGCTTGGACCTGTGCAGTTGTCCGCGCTCGGGGGGCTGTCGCTCCCCAGCCAGGCAGGATAGATCAGTCACACCAGCTCCAGCTCTGGGGCAAAACCAGCCTGATGCTGACTGTTTCTACAGATGCCCTCCCCCGCTCCCTGCCCCCAAGCCTGGCGCAGAAATGAATGAGTGGGACTCGTGTAAGATCACACTGAAATGAACCACGTCAGAACTTACATAACTTGACGAACATCAGGAAAGTTTCACAGCTAAATACGGCTCTGTTCAATTTTCATGCTGCCAGAGTTTAACTGACCTTAGGATTTCTACGATTTGCTTTAAAAGGATATGATTCATATTAGCTTCAGTAAGGCAATTCTTCAGCAAATTGGGCCTCTGTATTGAGCTAAAATAATACCCCTTTTTAGTCCTGCAGCAAAACGAGCTGGAATATCACCTGTTTTTACCTGCTCTGATGGCAAGTCCGCAGGCTTCTGTACTCATTCTTAAGGGTGAGAAGATGCTGAGCTCCACTGGTGCAATCAGTGGATCACCATCAGGTTGTGCTGCGTGATCACGGGTCCGTGCCCGGGTCCCAGATGCCAGCACACCAGGGACAGGGTGGGAATAGTGAAATTGTGGACTGGAGTTGTGGCTGGGGCTCTCTCATCTACACGCATTACTTGCTAGGGTGCCTGCAGGCTCACATGAGGAGTCAGTAAGAGACACCCCACTTTGCCAGCAGCTGCTGTATCACAGGGGTTCCCCAACCCTGGTCCTGAGGAGCCACCCACCAGGTGATGCCCACTATACTGTCACCACTTCACTCTGAACAGCCAGGCTCACTGCAGTAGTGAAGGTACTGTAGCTAATGGAAATCGTGTTTCATCCACCACTGTGCTGATCAAGCCCAGTACTTAAACAGTGCACACTTATCACACAGGCATCTCAATGAATGTAAAAGCAAAACTCCCCACTTTCTCCTTTGCTATGATTCTGGTGAGGTACTGTTTGTACTTGTGAGTGGAGCGTTGCAGCTCTGCACAGGAACCAAACTTCCGTTTTACTGCAGTTAATGAGTGGAAGTCTTGGTATGAAGGAGAGGTTAAAAGGCATTTTGCTTCAGAGAAGGACTTTACCTCCCCTTGGTGCACAGAGAGATGTGTTCACAAATGCACACACTGAATTCTAACACCTGAACAGATTGCCTTCATTGCAGAAGAGAATTATACTTCTGCACTTTGGGGAGAAATCCACTGTGATTAAGGACCAGTAAGAACTTAGGTTTTTGAGCCGATTACAAAAATCAGCAATTAATTCATTAAGCCTGCCTATGCTGAATGTATTAGCGTGACTCTTGCTTGCCTATTTTAAAAGCAGCCTAGTTGCAAGATACTCTTTAAAGTCTTAGCTGGTATTGGGTATTTTAGCTGGGATTTCAGGAATAAGGGCCACAAAGTCAGGCTCTCTCTGCATGTGTGGTGCAATCATAAAGTACAGAATGACTTTTTCCTCCCTCCTTTTTCCTGTCAATGGTATTTTCAGTATTCACTGGTGGCTCGGCTCATAAACGCTTTCCTGTTGAAATCTAAATGCTTCCCAACATTCATCATGTGTGCTGCAGCACAGCCACAAGCTGAACTGAACTCTCTCCTGCCAATTCTCAGAGATGAACAGCCCAATGGCAAAGCTCTTCATCTACCTCAGACACGAGAAAGACCTAAACCTCACATTTCAGTCTGGAAAACAAACTTTAGGAGGTTTCCTCTTAATCTTCACCTCTCCAAATGGTTTTCTCATTTAAAACTACACTCCTCGGGCAGAATGAATGCACAGGCAGACAGAGCCACAGGTTTATAAGGTAAAAAAGCTGACAAGTTTCAAAACCGCCCCCTGATTAATGCCACAGGTCATCTGGACACTATAAGGCATCAGAAACACGTTTTCTTCTTGAAGGAAAACTTTTTTTCCTGTGTGGAAAATCAGAGATAACAGAAAGCTTGCACCTCCATTAATGATGCCCCCTCACTTCCACATGATCTAATTACTTTGTTTGAACAGAAAGAGACAGCTCTCTCATTTCATAGTGCATGACCAGCAGAATTTAGACCAGTTGCTCAGCGACAAGTGAGTGAATTTTTATTCACCCATTTGTGGTCAGACCTCTGAATTTACATGGAGAAAACACAGTGCTGTAAATCTACTGTAAAGCCGGGTTTCTAACACTGGATGCAATAAATACTACAGGCAACCTGTAAAACTCAGTAAATGCACCACACCATATCACGACCTGACACATTTTAAAACATGGTGAATCAGGCTAACTTACAGCCTTCTTTTGCACTTCTTGGGATATGAAAATAAAATCTTAAAATTGTGGGCAGCAAGTTAAAATCTAAATATCCCGACCCGAAGCGAAACGCCCACTATAATAAAGATTATCATGACTTCAATCCACCAGCGATCTCGGGATTAACCCAACGTTTGTAGTACAACTTGTTTCTCACTGTAAATGACTTCTGTCCACATTTACAGCCTTATTAAATAAATGAATTATATAGGCAGTGTTTGCAGTGATGTCATCACCCGTTCACAAAAAACCCAGATGTTCACAACTGAAAAGCATTTAGATACACGTACTGCGGGATGTAACACTCTTTTTTCCCCATCTCCTAGATACAGACTAACTATATAATTCCGCCACGATCCCTGTCGAGGAAAATCTCTTTTTTTTTTGCTACAGTCGGCCACGGTTTTTCCTTGCTGAGATGCACTGTAACTCCCCCAGCCAGCCTAATAATAATCCTGAAAATCCCAGCGACACACTGCCTGAGTCTCGCATCTTCCCCTTTCAGTCAAACTCCTGCGCGTCGAGCGCCACGGATCGCATCTCGGCGTTAACGGATACATAAATCACACGCCGGGCTCTACAGTCAAAGCATTAACGCTATACTCCCGCGTTTGGGGAACACCTTAGAGCAATGTGCCTATGACAGGGAAGGGGGGTAAATTCTATCATGTTTACGCTATAGAACATTAAAAACCAAGCAGACAACAAGCGAGCCCAGAGTGGCCCGGTCCTTAGCGTTGTGTGACCAACACTTTTCGTGCTTCGCTCCGGCTGGCACATCCAGTGCCAATGAGCAGTGACCGCCAGCCCCGGTACCGCCGGGCAGAGACCGAGCCTCCCTCCCGCTTCCTGCTTTTTATTGTTTATTTTTGCAAGACGAAGACGCGCGTCAGGTTCCTCAGGTGCGCCTTACCTCCCGTTTCACATTCCAGAGCAATTTCTCTTTCAGGTCTGCCTCGGCGGACGAGCCCATGGCCAACCGGAGCGAGCGGCGACGGACGTCGCCTCTCCAGAACCCCGGGACGCACAGGTGTGTGTCTGTGTGTGCTGCTGCTGCTGCTGCTCCTGCTGCTGGTGGTGGTGGTAGTGGCTGCGGCGAGCTTTCTCCAGCTTCCCTCTTTCTCCGTCCGTCCGTCCTTCTTCCTCACAGGTAGGAGCGCGTCTTCACGGCCGGCGCTCTGTGCCTGCGTTAGGTGCCTGGGCTACGGTAGCCATCTTCAGCCCCCTTCGCGTTGACGTCACTCCCCTCCCCCGCCCCCTTTCCCATAGCTGATCAATGGAGCCGATCGCCACTCGCACCTGGGCAGCGCCGTCCCACTCTGCGGCCGTCCTTCCCCCGCTCTCCCACGGCTGACGCGAACACGGGTGTCAGAACGGCAACTGGTTCACGCCGCACAATGAGGCAAATGGCTGATGCCGGTCACTATGATGTGAACAGACTTCATCATTGGAGACTAAGCGTGTCAGCCTCAGGAGCAGCGAGCAGCGGGCAGAATGAGACACTTGCATGCAGCACCTTCTCCTAGCTCCTCGGTCAGGTTTGTTAGAGCAGAGCACGCTAAGCGTACAGCAAGTATCGGGCTCCTGAAAGAACTTTTATTCGTTTCGATGAAAATATGATCTGTTTCTGCAACAGATCTTTCAGGCCGATTTCAGTGCATTTTCAATTAAGAGTCATTATCTCGCGAATTATGATCTCTGGAATGGGCGGCGGGAAACAGTCTGGCTCTGCTCGACAGCCGATGGTCTCCGATTTAAGGAGCTCAACTCGCACAGTCTCCTCCTGGGCTGAATAGAGCCACAGGCACGCTGCGCGGCCTTAAGCCAGAAGATAATCGATATAACATGTGGGTTAACCATCGCACGGTAATGCCAGGGTATATAGTACTGTCCCTGTGCTTTATGCTAGGTTAGAGCATTCCGCTATGGGGGATATAATATTTCAAAGGTGTTTCTACTACAGCTATTTAAACTCACTGCATGGGCAATAGTGCTTTCTGAGCCGGAGCGCTATAAATATTCGGTAATTCCAGACAATTGCGGAGCCTCACGGTAACCGATTGTCAAGAACTATGGAGTGCACAGATGCTTTAGTCAAACTTTTATTAATTAAGGCACACGGGAACGAAAATGTCTATCCTTATGAAATTGAAAAAAAAAGTGCTGACAAAATCCATGAAAAACTGCTCTTCGCTGCGGACGCGAAGACGGGTCCCTTGTTTTGCTAAAAATAGCTGTATTTTGTTGTTGTTTTTAAAACAGCAGCCTGTATTATCGCCCAGAAGCAACAGTAACGCGCGGCTCCGCTCGGTTCACATGCATGGTGACGTCAGGCTGCAGTAAAAATAAATGTGCCACTAATTCATGGAGAAACAGGTCACTGTTCTCGATTCCTACTGTCACACGACACAACGCCGAGGCATTCCCGGCGCCCTCCAGCGGAACGGTGCTGTAACTACAATAGTCTGACCAAAAACACGGGCTTTTCGTGTTTCGAATAGGACAGGAACATTCGTTGTTAATAGATTTTCGCACTTTTTGTACTGTAAAACAGTGACACCAAAAGCAATATTGTAATACTCAATATTTAATCATTTGAATTTCCTACATTTCTAAATAGTGCTTTTCATCTCAAAGTGTGAAATTGCTTCATTAACAAACTTATGGGGACTCTTTAGATAGGCAGAGTCCAGAGTGTCATTCAGCCATGACTTAATGACCGAATATTATCTCATCTTTAAAAAACAGCATCTCCTACAGTTGTCACCTGGGCCATACTGGGGCATTGGTTTTGGATCATTGTGGTCCAGTGGGAAGGGCGCCCTCTATTGGTCAAATAACACCACTTACAGCAGGCTTTCCCTAGAGGGTCTCTCTTCCCCATACTTACTAGAACCGTCTTGCTTAATGTCTGAGACCTGCTAGAAAATCAGCCTAACAGGCAAGAAAACTGATATCTATAACATCTACAGCAAGAGTCACCTTTATCAATGTGCTGGTGTCACAGACACTACTTATTCTTATTATTTTTCTGACCTGTAGTGAAATGAGCTATTCAATGCAATGTGAATGTACTGTTTGCCACTGCTATTCCTGGCTCCAACCTGGAGACTCACCACACATTTGCTGTTCCTCATTCATCGTCCCCTTTCCAGCCCCACTGTCTGAAAATGGTGGCTTCATATGGTGATGGAATGGCTAACCCTGACCCACACCCTGTTCACGACTGCTAAATAATAATTTCTTACACTTATATAGCGCTTTTCTGGACACACCACTCAAAGAGCTTTCCAGGTAATGGAGATCCCCTCCACCATCACCACCACCAGTGTCTACCCCCACCTGGATGATGCGACGGCAGCCATAGTGCACCAGTACACTCTCCCCACACAGCAGCTCTCAGTGGGGAGGAGAGCAGAGTGATGAAACCAGTGGCCAGGGGTGAAATGTGGTCAGGACACTGGGGTAAGACCCCCCACATTCTGCTTATATCAGGGGAGGGAGCCTGCAGCCTCATCATCATCCTCCTCCTCGACGTAGTCAGCTTCATCGCCAGCAGCTGTGTGTGCAGGGGGGAGGAGGGCGAGGCACAGGAGCTCAACCCCCCCACGCCGGCGCGCAAGATGGGCGATGCCCCCGGAGCGTTCCAGACAAGCGCACCGCCCAAGCCTCCCCTCCCTGCAGCTCGACAACAACCACTCCACACCAGGCCCAGAAGGATTGCAGTCCCTTTAATATTTTCAAAACCACGATGCACAAGGGCAAAACAGACAGATAGAAAAACACATCGTATTTGTTCAGAGGCACTGACGTTTCGTAGTGTTACGTTTGAAATGAATTAGTCACCTTTTCAATGAAAGCTAAAAAAAAACAACCGTTTAAAAGCTATTTTTAAAAACAGCCAAAGCTCTACCATTAATATGACTTCTAGTAAAAAAAAAACAACATTCATTTGAAGCAGCTGTCTGCTTCGATATGAGTTGAGAAAGAAAAACATGGTCTCATTTCCTCCCTCCCCACGTGGCTCAAGTCCATTAAATCTTTGGCCTGTGATGTACCCCTGGGATCTGACCAGTCGGTGATTCAGAGGGAATAATAATCTGTGTGTTCGTGATGCCCTGCGATTAGTGGAGAAGTCAGTAGGGGTACCACCCACCCCCTGGTATAACAGGCTCAAGAGTACAGAGTCAGGACACAGCCCTGCCTGGAGGATTTCATCCTGCCAAAGCTTGCGGTACAGCTCTGGAGCCATTACCAGAGGGTTGCGGGTTCAAATCCTCGAGTGGACACCAGTGCTGGAACCTAGTGAACTGCTCTTTACCGCAGGTGATGACCCGAGGCCTGCTTTACACACCCCAGCTATATGAACCATGAAACCGAAGATGTTTGACTGAGGGGTAGCCCCAGATTCACATCTGACGTAGGGCAAGGCTTATACACTAACCGTTACAGAAACCTGGGTAAACAGCAGCCCTAACGAGACACTTAGGGTTGTTAAGGACATTAAACTGGCTTTAAAAGTAGCCAATCAATTGCAGAACAGCGTGTCAATTCAATGGATTTTAAGTCACTTCTTAATGTGTAAAGTGCAGTTTTATAGCCAGAGGAGGCTTTGATAATTAGAAAAGGCTACTCAGCTAATATGATTATTTGTCATGAACAGAGAGAGCTGACAGAGTGGCTGACTTGTCACTGACTTGTCAGGGTAACTGATAAGCCGGTCAGACTCAAATTAGCAAGTTTACTTCTAATAAGCTGACGATTCACTGAGCATCTCCAGGGCTCAGGTTAGCAAATCAGCTCGTCCTGTTACGTCATTAAAAAATTATAAGGGGACAAAACTCACAGATCAGTGCTGCCAAAGAAATAAACTTCAGCTAATACAACAGAAAGCAATATAGAAAAGGCAGTGCTTAGATACATTACAAGACAGGAAAAGCTGCCAGGAAACACTGCTTTTGAGATCTTTTTGGCATGAACATCCTTTGTCTCCTTTTGTAAAGTGACAAAGAAATTCTTTTGCTCTTACACTTGGCCGTCAGAATCACAGGAAAAAAAGTGTTTTAGAAGATATTTTTGTGCTGGTGAAATGTGTCATCCGAGAAGGGAGAATAAAAAAAAATCAGGCCGTGCAGGTCTAAAAACGACTGGCACAGCAATCTCTTCAGCATTACGAAGGTGCTATGACAGAATCCCAAAATCATGTCACACTGATTTAGAAAAATGACATAAAAAATACATTTTTTTAGGAAAGGCTTAAATTCAGTTCAATTTAAAAAAAAAAACACAATTAATTCAAGGCTTCAACAAGTTACAATACAGAAATAGTTTTTGTAACAGATCCTGTCAGGGACAACACAGAGCTGTGCAGCTGTGAATTCCAGCTGTGGGTAGTGTTATTTAGCAGTAGTGGTCATTGTTTCAGCTCTCAAAACATTTAACTAAAGTTACTTCCTGTTTAATGGTCATGGGCATACACTGCTGTGCAATTTCAAAATCTTAAGACTTTTTCAATCAATGATTTTCTTCCTCCACGCAGATACCATTCCATAAAGATTTTCCACTTTTTGACATAATTGTTAATCCTGACAGAACGTTGCCAACAGTACAGAAAGTAACCTCTGTCTTTATGGATGGCTAGAGAGGAACCTGATACCTAAAAAGGAATCGATTAGCTCTAACTGGTTAATGAGACAGATTACTAACCACAAGTTATTTTGGCTGTTCAAGTTTGAGAACATTCTGATCGTTGTGAATTAAAGACTGGTTAAAGGACAAGCTCGGTTTTTTATCACCCAAACGTATCTGTTCAAATAGCAGAAAATACTGGTGGGGCTTTTGAGTAAGCTGGTAACCCTGAATGCGTCTAAGACGTTTGAACAGCAGTGTACGTTGAGGTAAGAGCTTTAAGTTGGCGATTACAAAGGCCGCTGTAAAATCTAAAGGAGTGATTTAGATTTATTCCAGATACAATGATTATAATCCTCTCCATCATTTCCTGTCCTGTTTATTTCTGGGTGCTGCTGGCCATTAGGGATGTGAACAGAGGTGCTCTGTGTCCTGAAATGTTGCTCCACGAGGTCACTGTGCTGCCCTGTCTAGGCCCCAGATTCCAGGGCTGCAGTGGGAGGATTCGATGTGCTTTCTCTGTTGCACAGTTGTGCTCCCAGGGGATGGCCCACCTGTTGAGCCAATCCTGTTTTCCAAAACCGGAGCTAGTTGCTGAACTGCTCTAGGGACCGGCTGGCCTATGAAAACACCTGCCTCTTGAAACCATCCTTGGGCTGCAAAGCTTTTGGCTCACTTGTATCCGCCCCCGCAGAATCTGATTTTCATAGTTAAAACGTAACTCTGACCGAGAGTGCCTTGCGGAGAACAAAGACTGGATTCAGATGTGCCACCGCACAACGTTCTGAGAGACTGGACACACGCTGCCATCGCCTGGAGAGCGCAGCCCGGCGCCAGCTGCCTGCGAGAGCCTCCCAGCTGGATTCCCAGAGTAAAACGGGGTAAGACAGGAGGCACGATTCTGAGATTTGACTCGGCAGCAGGCTGGAAAAAAACCCCAACAAAAATCGATGCCTTGGAGTCAGCCAGGGGTTGCAGTCATCGCTGCGGGCTCGTCTGCGGTGGCTCGGCTCTCAGCTGGCGTGGACAGGGAGGCAGGCGGATGTTCCCCTCCTCCAGTTTCGGTCTCCTCGATGCCCTCGCCCGCCCTCCCTCCCCCCCCGCCGAGTTCAGGCTAGTGGCCCAGTGGCCGGTCGTCGTAGGTGCTGTACCTCTTGACGTGGATGCGGCGCACGCGCTCCCTGAGCTCCAGGCCCTCCTCGTCCTCGCTGTGGGAGGAGCCCCAGTGCGCCCGGCGGCTCGTGGCCTCCAGCAGGGAGTTGTCGGGGACCGGGAGCATCTCGTACAGCAGCGCGTTCAGGGTCTCCTCGTAGATGCGGGCTTCTGGGAATTCCACCTGTGCGGACGAGGCGGGACAGAGAGAGAGGGAAGAGGCGGTTGGAAATTTAGAAACTGAAAACGACTGAAAACATAAATTTGCCCAGAAATGGCAAATTATGGGCCCCTTGAGTAGGTGACAAAGAAACCTCTGGTAGTAAATAAGCTGCCATTAAGATTTATGGTTTGTGATTCTCAGCTGGCAAATAGGACAAAAGTATGGTAGAATCCAGCCTCTAGTTTGAAGAAGACATCTGTGAAACGTTTTCTGCACACCTGACGAGTGAAGTCTTGATCCCTGCAGGGTTTCTCTATCCTGCTCCCTGTGACCCCTGACCCTTGACCCTCTGACCCCTAATCCCAGCATCTGCTGGTTCCCATTCTGGATGGACTCTCAGGTGTTTAACTGTACCCCGAATTGAACTAAAAACGCAACCGACTAGACCTTTTCACAAAAAGCTAGTCTTCAAATTAATGCTGAATATGAATATGAAAACATAAAGGCTCAATAATCAAGAACGAGAAGACACCAAGGTCACGAAGATGTGGATTCGGGTGGCGGGATCAAAAGCAATGGGGCACACAACTGGGCATGCACATTTTCAAGCGGTGTTACTGATGGGCTTATTATTAATTACTGGAGTGGACAAATACGGCCCTACCTTCGTCTGCTTCTTCTCGGTGGCGTAGACGATGGAGGTGCAGCACACCTCCGCCAGCTTGCGGCCCTGCCCGTAGAAGGACCAGCAGCAGATCTCATCCCCGATCACGTCCTTAATGAAGAGGATGCGGCCATTGTAGCTCAGGGACAGCTTGTCGAACAGCTCGATGTTCTTCAGCAGGTTGTCGTCTGAGGTGCTTGAAACACACGAAAGGAGGGCCCATCAGGCATGAAAATAAACCAAGAAAAACCCCGCTCATCCCCGCCCCCCGCTTTTGGATTGGTGACCCAAGAACCAAGGGTCAAAGGTACTGGTTCCTGTACCCTTCTGGCTTGCGTTGTCAAGACCAGTCAGACCAGTGCTTTGTTAGGTGTGACTATACTACATATGTTGCTCTCAAGAAAGGTTAAGCGTCTTCTTTTTATAGATCGTTCACAATAATAATCACAAAGCTCCAAAGCAGAATAGCTCAAGACTCATGGAGTGTAAGCTCAGATTTACCAGTCTTTACCTGGTGTAGGAATATTTGTTGTTGCTCCGGTTGTACAGCAACTTCACTACGGGCTGCGAAAGAAAAAACAGGATTCAGAGAAACTCCCATCAATAATAGTCTACAAAACAGGTTTTCGGTTGAAGATGGTGTAGGGCTGCGTGCTGTTTCTTTTTTTATTGAGAGTGGCTGCTGTTACAGACACCTGAGTGTGGATGGAGCCCTTCGGTCACAGGTTTGAGCCTGGAATATGTCACTATCCAATTCCACGGGGCTGCATTGTCTGCAAAGCATGTTAAATATCGCCTCATTCTCCCCCGTGTGCACCCGTGGGGTTTGGAGCTGAAATACGATGAAAAGCAGCAGTCGGCTATTCTGAATCAGGCAAGCATTCCAATAATAACTGGAGAGTCCGAGCTGAAAAAACAGCTGGTGTTTTAACCAACTCTAAGGTTGGGCTGTAGTCAAAGTAAGTGGAGTCACACTATCCAGGAGGAGACTTTCTTACCTTGGAGCAGGACTGGATCAGCCTCTCCTCTTCCTTCGGGGAAGTGATGACAGGAATGAGGCAGACCGCATCCTCCTTCTTCTCCTGCCGTTTACACAGGAGACACAACAGCAGGTAGTTAAGTGAAGGAGCACTACCGCCGTTCCAGTGCTCATTAGCAGCATCGTACTCGCAGACACACTCTGTACTCTCACATCACAAAGCGTTTCCAACACTGTTACAAAATCAGTATTAAACCGAATGTAATGGCAACTCAAACGCCAAGACATCAACCTTCAGCACAAACTCATAAAAACTGAAGGAGAGCACTGTGTAAGTAATTAATCTGGCCATACCTCAACAGGACTACACCGTACAAGTGGTAATGCAGTCTTTAGAAACACTGCATGTATCAGATATTCTGTTTCTGGTCCAGCCGTCTGATATCCGCATATGGCGGAGTGGTGGCTCCGTGGCTCAGGATCTGCGTCTGTGGCTGGAAGGTTGCCAGTTCAAATCCCACAGCCGGCAGAGGAATCCTACTCCATTGGGCCCCTGAGCAAGGCCCTTCACCCCAGTTGCTCCAGGGGTGCTGTACAATGGCTGACCCTGCGCTCTGACCCCAAGCTTGCAAGCTGGGGTATGCAAAAAGACGAATTCCTAATCCAAGAAATTGTATAGGGCTAAAAAAGTGATGTTATGTTATATGGTTGGAGGTGGCGGGGCGATTGAGACCAAAAAAGTGTTTTTGCAGAACGTTCAGAATCTTAATCGTATGAAACCCAGCAAAGATAAATATGGCAACGTGCTTCTTAATTACCCAACTAAGGATGAGTTTATATCATTTGGAAGTTGACCGTCATGCACCTCCTAAGTATTAAAGGTAAATTGGGCCAGTTTAAAAACACCTCGCCTTACTGTGACCTTCGAAACATGTGGGCAACTAATCTTTTAATGGTTTACGTCCAATCACTTTGCAAGATTAATTGTAAAAACAATTAATTAAAAACAATTACATTGCAAAAACAACTCCCAATTCCATGCTGAAAGCCACCCTAAGGCTTAGTTCAAACCCCACGTGCATGAGAACATGGAGTCAGAGTGTTCTTCAATATTCTAATCTGGATACAAAGGCGGTCATCAGTTCTTGGAATACAAAAAAAAGAACGAACGAACAATTTTTGTAAACCCCACTTTTGTAATGTTAAGGAAGTAGTGAATTACCCCATTGTTGCCACGTACTGGGCATTTCAAGAATATCTTGTACTGGGAATGAAGACTGGACAAACCCCAATGTAACCTTTAAATTACAAACAAGTTGGAAGCTTTATATCAATGTGCTGACTTGACTGACAGGATATTTTTGTTCTTATGCACAGCTGACTCCGATCTGTATTTAGCAAATATATCATACAAGAATTCTGAACATAGGAAAGTGAGAACCAAAATTTGTGGTGCATGAACTGCATATGCCAACATTTTCAACCCCTGTTACAAATGAAATCATTAAGAGATGGCACACTGAGCCTCAAACAACACCACCTCTCCTGATGCTGCATAAGCACAAACTCTTTTAATTTATGTTGATTCACAGGGTTCCAGAATGCATGGAATGCAGTCTCCATGGAGACCAGACAATGTCCGCTTTGTGCCTGATAAGTCCAGATAAGTCAGGGATCTCAACAGGGCCCTGGGACTCCACAGGCACGCTCCTGCAGGGCACAAACCCCGCTCCTCGTCCTCACAATCCACAGCCGCCACAGGAGACAGCTGAGCTCCCACTCAGCATGCCAGAATTTCAGCTCCACCTGAACAAATACCGGACAGTCGCCTGTGCTTTGCGTTAAACTCAAACACGCCAACGCTGCTCCTGCCAAAAGAGGTTACTAACAGCATGCATAACCATTTTCAAGTTATACATGACTCACTGACTCACGGCCAAATGCAAGTTTTTGTAGGCCAAAGTTCCGTAGAAGAATAGGAAATACTGCATACCTTGTAAGTCCAGAAAACATCAGTAAATACTCAATATCAAAGCTCCCTGTTTTAATCCTAGGCCTC